TACTTCTGACTCAAGATCTAAAGTTGATCCTCTGTAGGCAGCGTATAGTTGGATCATGTTTTATTATCTATCCTGCCAGTATCTACCATAGTGAGATTTCATTTCATACCCACTAAGATAGGCCATAATACTGGGGGGAAAAAACCAGTAGGCGTTGGCAAGATGTGGAGAAACTGGAATTGTCATTCACTGAAAGAAATCAAACACAAAAGATTATGCGATTCCATTTACATGAAATATCCAGGATAGGTAAATCCATAAAGTAAATTAGTAATAGCTAGGGGGTGGAGCAAGGGGGTGAGGGAGTGTTAAGAAGTGAACACTAATGGGTAAGGAGTTTTGTGGGGTTTTTTTTTTAAGATTTATGTATTTGTGCATACAGAGCTGGGGTACAGGCCTGAGATGAAGGGACAGTGAGAGGATTCACCAGAGACAGAGCGGGGAGCAGAACAGACAGATCATTGAAGTACACTGCTGAGGGGAGCAGTGGGCGGGTCAGGAGAGGTCTGCCACGCCATGTGGTCACCTCCGGGGCAGGCAGGAATCAAACTCATGGGGAAGTGGCTTTAGCTTGTTAGTGCTTTGCTTTAACCCGCTGAGCCACCAGGGAGGGCCAGGTAAGGCGTTTCTTTAGGGCATAATGACAAATGTGCTAGAATTTAGGCAGTGTCGATGGTTTCAAAACTTGTGAACATAGTGAAATTACTACTACCAACATAAGATTAGTTCCCATTACTATACACAAATTTCACCTCAATGAAACTGTACACAAATACTGAACATGTTCATTTCGTAATATATGTGGTGTATTTAGTAGGGCACGTACTAAGGTGTGCAATGTCCTTTGAAATGCGCCAAAAGAAAGATGGCGGAACAGATGGAGCAATAGATGAGAAAGCAAATCTAGCAAAAAATTAATAGTGGGATCTTGGTGTTGGATGTAAAGGTAAAAGCTTTTCCCAAGTGTTGTATGATTGAAATTTTTCAAATAATATATTAGGGAAAGGTTGACACAAAAGAAAAATTCCCATTACTCCTGAGTGCTCTGCTGAACTTTAGGATATGATAGCAGGGCAGCACGCCTGCAGGCGGTTCAGAGTGTCTTCACTGAAAGGCTACAAGGAGCCGCCTAAGTGAAGACCTAGCAAAAGTCTCCCGGCCCCCTGACCCTCACAAAAAAAGCCTTCTTCTAAGGCCCAGCCCTTAAGTTTGGTGTGTTCTAGAAACAGCAAGTGTCTGGCAGCAGGGGTTGAGTGATACAAAATGCAGAGTGGAAAGAAAAGTGGGTGCCAAGTCACATGCCGTCTGCAGACAGTAAAGGAATTTTGATTTTGATTTTATCTGCACCCGAAGGGAATGGGGAGGCTCTAATACAGGGATGGAGTGGTTGCGATGGGGTGTGTTCTTATTATTAGGTTGAAAATAGCTTGCTGGCTGCTGTGGGAAGAATGGCTTTGAAGTGTTTAGGAAAAGCAGTGGAGAAACTATTGTGATGCCCGGACAAGGACAATGGAAGACTGAATGGGGGCACTGGTGGGAGTGAGGACAGGGATTAGTGCATATGGGAGATATTCTGAGTGAAGAATTGATGGGATCCATTGAAAGACTGACAATAGGATGACAAGAGACACCAGGAAAGATCCTGGGTTTTAGCTTTAGCCACTGAGTGAACTGAGTGACATTTACTGAGATGTTAAAACTAAGAGAGAAGCAGATTTGAAGTATAGTACATGGAAGGCTCAGGAAAATCTCATTTAAATTGGGCATGAGTGGCGGTGTGAGAAAGACTGGAAAAGAATAGAATCACAATAAGCTGGAAGTTGTTAAGGGGCCGATTTGAGATTTGTAATTTCTTTGCCTCTTAAGAATCAATTTGACTTGACTGTATTAAGATCCTTTAAGCCAGAAAAAACAATCAAACTGTAATGCAAATCAAGCTCACTGATTTGTAGTCTACCTGAAAGGTTAAAGATGAATTGGGAGTCAAGAGCCCTGTATCTCTCAACTTAGAGAAGTCAAGGGGGGAAATCAGGAGTTAGAATGAGGGCGACAAGCAGAAGAGGGGAAAAAAAAACCCTCTGGCAGTAACACGTTAATTCTTCGCTGCCTCTCCCCAGTCAATGATAAGAGACTATATGTTTCTCTAATTCCACACGTACGTGCCCAAGTGCCTTCCAGTATTTTTCACAATGTGGTGACTCAAATTTCAGTTCTCATCCTCTAATCCCATTAGTTTAGCCAAAGTATAATGAAAAATCTATGGCCTTTGGAGCTAAATAAATCTAAATTTAAAGCAGGCCCACTGCTCAGTAGCTCTGTGACCTTGAGCAAATTACTTACCATTTCTAATCCTCAGTTTCTTAAATGTAAATGAAAATAATTAACCCAAGCATTAGCATTAGAAATAACAGTCACAAAGTGCCTGCTACTTGGAAAAAATGCTCCATAAACAAGAGCTACTGTTATGTAAAAGGCACCTAATTCATCAGTGCTCAATGCAGTTAATTTCCTCCCTTGGCAGCGTGGATTCCTGTTTCCAGAAGAGAAGTAAAGACAAGAGAGAAGACCAAAGGGCAACACATAAAACATGAGAATTTCGTTTCACCATGTAACAGAGAAAGAAGCAAAACAGAGAAATCTATGAATAGGTATGACACGTGGGCAGTCCTACGAATGGACAGGTGATAATTCGGCTGTTTAGAACTAGAAACATATTTTCGCATGGAGCCAGTGATTGGTGTTCAACTCTTAGATAAAGTCACAAAATCATCAGTCATGAAATCATCAGTCATGAAAATGTGACCCATCACAATAAACTAGTAGCAAGCAAAACCAGTGAACTACCAAATACAGAAAACCAAGAGACTCCAATAATATGTCATTTATTTTAGACATTAGCACTTGAGGGAAGGGTTTTATGAGAGGTTCCCGTGGTGACTGAGAAGGGGTTTTCAGGGAAATTCCAAAAGCTTTATAAAGCTGATGACCCTGGTTCTTTATTATGTTTTATTTCACCTCAAATTTTATGGCTTCCCCTTCTTTCAGAAGAGCAAAACACTAGTACTCTTATACTTAATAGACATGATTGCAATCATTTATTTCACAAATGAGAGGAGTAATTGAAGAAGAAAAAGAAGGCAGAAGAGAGGAAAGAGTGACAAAGGACTGTGGGCAAGTATAAAGAAAACAACCTTCGGTGATTAGGGCACCTCAGTAGTAAACACTGAAAAGCCGGTAAAGCACAGCATTAAAATATGAAGGAAGGAACAGCAAGTGATGGGAACTAGCAGATTCCTGGTGATTTTAAAGATCACAGGTAGGTAGGTAGGTTGTTCAGTTGGTTGGTTGGTTGGTTGGCTGGCTGGCTGGCTGGCTGGCTTTTTCAAGATAAAAGATATGAAGCAAGAAAATGCAGCCACTTTCTATACAAAAGAAGCGCTCTAGTTGAAGATTCATAACTCAAAAGGTGGCACGCCAAGGTAACGCAAGACATTTTTCTAACTCCTTTTTCTGTCTCCTCCAATCTTCTGTCCTTATATAGCTACTGTTGCAATAATGATGTCATTATGCCCGATAGTGTAGATAATAAGTAGCTAAACTCGGGTTAGAAAGATGGCTTTTGGAAGTGAGAAGACAACAGATTAAGATGAAATTATTTTAGGAAAGTCTCCTCAAATGCTAGTAGGTATGTTTCATGTCTCTTAAGTTATAAGAAAGAATAATAATTTCAACCTTCAGAAAGAAGCTTTTGGTTTTCTCAGAGAAATAAACCAAAATCAGTATAGGACAGTGCAACTTATTTAGCAATCTAGAGATCTTCCAATGGAATTGTGAAATGCCTTCTGAAAATGTTGATGATTCTGAAGAAAAGATTAATAAAGAGCTGTTGTAGTCCCAAAAATATTTTCTTGGGCCTGACCTTAAACCCAGGACTATCTTAGAGAAAATTTTGCAAAACAAGTAAAGCACACTTAATAATATTTTGGCCAAACCCACATAATTTAGCCAAACCCCTAGAAACAGGGATGCAAAAAGTCAGATTTTTCAGAGCAGAACTGCTAAGGTAGCTGATCCTTTGCAACGAATGCACTTTCAGGCCTTTCTGTAGATTGCCACTATGTAAATGTTGTCAAATCAAATGTGTTCCAAAGGTATAAAATAATTCTAACTATTCAACCTTAATGAGAAAACAGGACCCAGAAAATGTTAATGAGGGTGCTGAAAAGCTTGGCCCTCTGTAGGAATGCTGAGACTCCAGTGGCTGTGAATTCCTCTAATATCTCTCCTGTAGCTGCAAATTCCGATCTAATGTATGCAACTTATAGTATGATTTTGAAACTTGTCAAGTGATTAATGGCTTTGCTAAATCACGATGACCGTGTAGTCCTTATGCATTTTCCTACTTAGTGGACACTGAAATTACAAGTGTTGTCCGGAACATCAGGAGTCCAGCAGGAGGCACCGCCCCTGGCAATGGCGCCTGAAGCTGCCCAGAGACAGCCTTCAAGCCGCCTTTCCTTACCTGCTACTTCAAGGCAGAATGTGCAGTTGAAAGTTCCTACAGTGCTTTCTCTTTGCTATCAAGAGTATTAAAATGATAGCTAGTATCTTAGGAATAGGCTAAAAACTTGAAGAGTTCTGTGAAATTGTGATATTTTTATTTCAATCTCATATCCTTAACTTGAGTAAGTTGCATTCAACTTCGTACATATAAATGTACATGACATTCAATCAAGAATTCTCAAGACAATTCCCTTCTTTTAATTAACCAGTGATTTCATCTTACAAAGAGCTGTAATTAGGTCAAATTACTCTCTGCAGTTCACTTTAATTACAGAATATGGTAATTCTGCTGATAAATTCTCCCAGAGCAACAGGTCATCAAAAACCTAGGACTATTCTACCAGTGTTTGCACTATGGGAATGACTTATTACCTATTTACTCAGCTTTATCTGCAAAAAGACATAGAAACGCTACCAAAGTTAATTTAAGAACTTACCAATTTCCCTTGCAATTCTGACAGCTTCATCTGCATCCTGTAAAAGCAGGAAATGAGAGCCAACATTAATCCCATCAGCCATTGCACCATGTCTTTAGGGCAGTCATATATTGCACTACTGTCTCCTCCGATTCATTTAATGTTCGATTTTACAACCTTCTAACTCTTTTCATTCGGAGAAATGTAAAATTAATACCATAAGTGGAATGTAAATTCTACCTCATCATTATTATATGAAGAAACTCAAAGCAGTTTGAAATGAGCTGGCAGGAAGCTCTACCAGAATTGCCTGATGATTTGGTGCAGTTGCTGGGATTTAAGAGCAGAATTTACATGTTTACCATCAATACTGAATCATAAATCAGATCATTAAAGCTTGTCCACAGCCAGCTTGTTCCTGTCCCTCTGCCTTTTCTAGGTCATGTTTTCCTAGATTCTGTCAGCAGGGGGAGTTGATTCTCTATTGTTTGGGAGGAGTCTTAACAGATTTTCCAGAAATAAAGAAGTCCGTTTCTATTATCTACAGGAATTGCCAATATTCCTCGAAATGTTAATTTTACCTCCATTATTCTTTCTTTTTTCTTTCATCTTTTTTTAGGTACATATTTTGTCACCACTGGTTACATCCTGTTACCAACTGAAAACTTAAATTCAACTAACCAATCCCCAAAGTCAAGAAAATGCAGTCACAACAGTACAAAGTAACAAGTTAGGAATATAAGGATTATTATTGCTAACCATCACCCAATGCCACTGGGGCTTTTAAGGAGCTGAAAGGACAAGAATTTCCCCTGAATCTAAGCCATTCATTGATCACTGACCATGACTAAATGGGCTACATTTCCCCCATACAACAATAAAGAGAAATCTGAAAAGGTGTTAAGTCCAAGCCTCCTTCTAAATTAATTTCTTACAGCTCAGTCACATAAACTAAACTATGACAAGAATTGTTTGAAACAATTGGCTGGTAAGAATGTTGGAATTTTTAGGAAACAATTTTAAACGACTAATGTGAAACCTGGCTTTTTTTTTTTTAAGCTTTTTAACTAATACTTTAAAAATGTAGAGTAACCATGTCAGAATCTCCCCACCTCTCCACCCCCCCCCCCCGTAAGGGGGCAGGGGATGTTTAGAACTGGTTCATTTATGTCTAATAAAACAAATCTTCCTTAAAAGTCTTCAGTACCTAATAACATCCCCTGACTAAGGAGGTTGGCAGGGGAAGTTGTCAGAAAAATTTAATTTCCTTTCATTAGCCAGTCTGCTCCACAAATAGATGCTTGTTAAGTTCAAAGCGGTCCTGAGAACGACATCAGTTTTAAGTCTTTTTTTTTTTCCTCCAAGCAGTCACATCTGCTAATGAGATTTTCCAAATAACAATTGTTTTCAAGTCAGAGATAAATCTATACCTCTACCCTCCCCCCAAAATCAAAGTTTACTGCTTTATTACACCTTGCTGTTTTTGCTGACCCTACATTCTCTAAATTTTAGCTTAAAGGGATAAAAATCCATGAAAAGGGTCATTTAGGAATGTTAGTGGTTTCCCCACATTGAGCTGGAAGGTTCTTTGTTCGAGCCAGTGACAGTTATTGGAGAATACTTCCCCTTAATAGCCTCTCTGTCAGGAAGTGTTAAACCCGCCAAATGCCACAATTAGTGCCCCGAACAAAATACAGGAGCGCGGGGCTGATGGAAATGGGTTGTAAGACGCCACAAGGAAAGTTTCCGCGTCTTTCTTTCAAAGGGCGAGTGGTACATTTGCGAAAGATATTGTGAGAGGAAAGAAACTCCCGCCTCAGAAGTGTGTTGCCCTGAGGAACTAACTGACCAGCGGGCGAGCGGAGCGAGGGGCCGAGGCGGCTCCTCCTGGCGCACTCTGCCGTCCGTTCACGTTCGCGCGAATCTCACACGGCCGGAGAGGCCAGGCCGAGAGGACAGCCACACAGAACCTCTCGGAATCCCCGACCGCCTCCAGCCCAGCACCTCTAGAAACTGCACGAAACACTCTTGTCTTCAACTTCAGTTTTCTTACTGTGAAAAGCAAATTCTACCAAGTGAAAGCGCCAGTAAAATCAAACTGCCTTAAAAATAGCTTTTGCTTCTCATTCGTTCCTCCCAAAATATTTTACTGAGGACACATTATGCACTAGACATTAAAAAACTCTTATCAGTTTCAATAATAAGCTATTAAATATACTTACTCAGCTCCCAGATGTCCTTTCAGCATGTGTAGTTTCATTATCAGGCAATAAAACCTTACTTTTAAGGAGAATTTTTTAAAACCACATAGAGCTCCAACTTCAATAGAGCTGACACATGGCTGAGGGGTGAATGTGGGGGGGAGGGATATTTAATAAAAGCTGGGATCCCCAACCACCAGGAAAAATGGGCAAAGGATTAGATAAAAAGTTTATATAAAAAGAAACTGAAGAGCTTAATTTATAAAACAGGTTCTCCTTTAGCCACAAGTACAGACGTGCAAATATCAGAATGACATCACTTTTCACCTAAGTTTCACCTGGCCTGATGACTGAAAGGTAAAGGTCAACTCACATCACTCGTCTAGTACAAAATGGGGCTTTTTAATTTTTTTTGTTAAGGAACTATCAGTGTCTATCAGATACTGGACACATTTTGGCTCAGCTATTGCACTTTTAGGATACTAGCCTATGCTCATGAGTGCACAGACCGATACAGAAAGCACTTGGTTGTTCTCAATTTGGTGGTGTTTTGATATGAAAAGGAAGTCTGAAAACAATTTCAAAGGTCTTCAATAAGGAACTGGTAGCGTCCATGGCACACACCTAAGCTGGAATATTACACGGCCTTTAAAAAGAACGAGGTTGTGGCCCTTCCTGGTGGCGAAGCTAAAGCCACTTCCCATGAGTTCGATCCCCGCCTGCCCCGGAGGTGACCACATGGCGTTTCAGACCTCTCCTGACCCGCCTGCTGCTCCCCTCAGCAGTGGACTTCGTCGATCTGCCTGTTCAGCTCCCCACTCTGTCTCTGGTGAATCCTCTCACCCTCCACATCTCTGACCGGTACCCCAGTTCCATATGAATAAATAAAACTTTAAAAAAAAAAAAAAAGAACAAGGTTGAGCCACATGTTCTTATTTATACATTAATTCAACATGTATGTAGTGAGTAATACTACATGGAACTTAGAACCTAATGAGATAAACAGAATAAACAAACCAAGTGAAAACTGAAATAATGCTACGTGGAAAACAAACAATACTGAGGGACAGTGTAAAAGCCCCCCCCCCCCTTTAGATGAACTGCTCAGAAAAGGTCTTTCTGAAGTTAACTTTCATCTAAAACCTGAGGACAGTAATTAGCCCTGGAAGGTTGGCGGGAAAGGGACCTCGACAGTGTCCTACATATTTCCACAAAGTGCAGAAAAACTCGAGATCAGGAGAGTAATTAGTACTTCTAGATACTAAAAGCCAGTCCATGAGGCTGAACCAGCCGTGTAAGGAAGTGAGGAGAGGGCAAGAGGAAGTGGGTGTGGAAGGCCCGGCTGCTCAAACCCAGCAGACTCAAGCCAGAAACACAAGCTGGGAAAGGGGGAGGGGGGTTGGGGGGGTGCGGCCTGGGACTTAAGTTTCAGAGGGCAACTAGCACTCTAAAGATATGCAAAACACAGCACACTCTCTAGGGGGAAAAAACAAGTTGTAGGGTAGTATATATAATGTGGCCTTATTTACATGCAAACAAAGCACCTTGGATTGTGAGTAACAGTTTATAAATGGACACACACAAGAAATGCAGCCTGGGACAGTGCCAGAGGATAAGGTCGAAATTGGAGGGGGAGGGGAGGAACTTTTACTATTGTCACACTGAGGTTTTTGCTGTGAGGTTCAAATTGGCCTACTGCGGACTTTCACAATTGTAAATTTAGATCAGTGACAACTGAAAGTATTTTTCAAATTATCTAATGCTTCCCCCACCCACCGGCCAACTTGAAGTCATCAGGAATATGACATGAGCAATACCACTTGATTCCACGGCTCGAAGTGACACAGTCACCAGGGTTCACTGTGCAGTCCCACCGTCCCGAGGAAGTCCCACTCAGGTCTTGACATTAGCTCCTGGGACCACAAATGGGAAAGGAAAGCCTTGGGGTTTCATTCCAAAGCGGCCGTTCAAGAAAAGGAGAAAGAGGAAAGAAGCCACCAGAGTCGGTGTCTTTCACACCAAGTGAGTTCTGGGATCCAAACCAAGAAGAGTAACCGTGAGAAACCCTTTTGCAAATGGTTGGGATGGCTGGGTGATGCTGCAGCCATCAACACGTACATCACAAATATTATTTAAAAGAACCAACCAAATCAGGGGTTTTCTGCACGCCTCACAAGGGCGGCTGACCCACGGCTAAGACAGCAAGGCCAGGCCTGGGGGACTCGGTGCCAAGCCGGAAGGGGGCCTGCGTGCCCACACCAATGGCCACTCATCGTCTACAAGAGGCCAGCAAGCCTCTCTGGAATTCGGTTTTCTCCTCTGTAAGATGCAGGTATAGCATCTGCTAGAGTGGCCAACCCCAGGAGCACTCAAGGCGGGTTGGCAGCCTCTGAGATAAGCGCCCAGCAGCCCAAGCTGGCAAGGGTGTTGCCCAGCCCCCCCACCCGACCCGGCCTCGGTCATCACCAGTCCCGGGCATCTGTGTGACGAACTACGTCACGCTGGCAACTGCAAAGCCGCGCCTGCACCACAGGGCCCTTCCTGGGCCAGAAGACCTTGTGCTCGTGATCGCTGGTGAGCAGGAAGAAGGGTAGGAAAGGAAGCAGAAACTAGCAAAATAAGTCTCCCTGGATGCTAAACACTCGGTATACATATTTCTCCACATGGACATATGGCCTTGTTCTTCCAAGACACTTCTCTTTTCTCACTTGCTGCGTACAGCTGCGTGCCAGCCCTGAATTCTCCACACTCTGAGAGAGGGTCCCGCTTTTCATTCAGATGGAAACTACTTCGGTTTTCACTTTTCTCAGCCTGTTCTAGAAAGAATCAGTAACTGTTGGGGGGGGGGGCGATTATT